CACACACACACACACACACACACACACACACGGACTGAGATTCTCTGGGATCCTCATGTGGCCCCAGTGTGAGAAGACCTAGAATCCAGGAGTGTAGACAGGGCCCAGAGCCACCCCACATCCCAGGTACCCCTGAAAGAAACCTGTTAATAAAAGATTGTGGGAGTCTTTTCTATAACATACCCCAGCCCGACTAATATACCCTGAAGTAGAAGAGGCTGCCCACCAACCAAGTGAGGCCTGTCTTAGGGAAGAAACTACAAGAAGGAATTTGCAGTCTACTAACCTGGGCGTCCTGCTTCATAAGCGCATCATCCAGGTAATTCCCTTCATCCCTGCCTCCCTGAGAATGAAACAGACAAGAGTAAGCAAGTACCCATGGAGAGGCCAGAGCGCTCTTAAGACAGAAGGCCTGGAGACAAGATGCAATGAAAGCTGGGTCTTCAGGTTAGAGAGTTAGGACCGCTGTCTTAGGTCACCAGGGCTTGGACCTATGCCCTGGAGATGTTCCCGGCAGTGTGAGCCCCCGTGACTCCTGATGTTACAAAATCGGCTCTTCCAGGAGAAGGGCCATACCATCTCTCTGCTTCCTCCTCTCCTCCCCCGATTCCCACCACTGCACTGACCCAGCTGACTCAGCCTTCTTAATTAGTCAGGCTTCATTGATCAAGAGAATGCTGGACCTGAGGTGGAACTTGGGGAGCTGATGCATTGCCAGCACCAAATACACAGCTCCGGCATGGAGGACCACTGGAACCCCTGAAGGAACACTAAGGAGTGATAGGCACTGCCCTCCAGTTTGGAAGGCTGTTCTTTAAAAAAGTGTGGTATGTGTTGTGAGTGTTGTGTATGTGTGTTTAGGTGCCTACAGAGGCCAGAAGAGGGCATCAGGTCTTCTGGATCTGGAGTTACAGGTGATTGTGAGCCATCCAATGTGAGTGTGGGGGTTTAACTCAAGTCCTCTGCAAGAGCAAGGAGTACTCTCAACCTCTCCAGCCCTGCCACCATATGAACGTCTAAAACACACGGAAGTTAGCTCTCGATAAGCCTTGTAATCCGGTGCACTTTGTAACAGAGGTGGCTGGCACGAACATGGGACATGTGAACAGTGAATTAAAGCAAAAGAAATGCTTGAGCATGCATGACTAGCCAGGGTCTCTGAAGAAGAAACATAAAGGAATAGAGCAGCCTGAGAATGACACCTGGGGAAGACCCATGCTTGGAGGCTGAAAAGATGAAGGGCAGGTAAAGGAGGGCACATGTGTCAATCAACCCAGCATCCCCTATCAGAGGCTGGGACCGAGGAAGCCACGCACCGCCGTCAGGGACACCAGTACTCGCTGGAACATGAAGGAGGTATCCGAGCAGATGTCCTCTTCAAGGCTCCTTCCATAGTCTACCAAGAAATTGAAAATGGGTGCATCAGAACAGAGACCTGTCCAGTGCTGTCACCCTCCAGCAAGCTCTGTCCCTCCAAGCCAGCCTGCTCACTGGAGCAGCTCAGAGCAAGGTGCTACTCCATGTGAGGTCTTCAAAATCTGAACTCTGTGTGGCCCCAGCCCTCCCTGGGGGTTTATAAGCAAGTAATGGTTGCTGGGGAGGGGGGAGACAATTCCTTCAGTGGAACCATCAGTAACCATCAGTAAGGTACCCATGCTCCTGAAGGTGACCCTTCACCCATGGCTCCTGTAAGCAATTCTTTTTTTTTTTTTTTTAAGGATTTATTTATTTATTATGTATACAGTGTTCTGTCTGCATATACACATGCATGCCAGAAGAGGGCACCAGATCTCATTATGGATGGTAATGAGCCACCATGTGGTTGCTGGGAATTGAACTCAGGACCTCTGGAAGAGCAGCCAGTGATCTTAACCTCTGAGCCATCTCTCCAGGCCCTCCTGTAAGCAATTCTAATGAAGCTCATTAACTCATAAAAATGGCAACAACAAACAAACAATAAATATGACCTCGTAAATGGACCCAGAAGGAGCTAGGGCTGTCTCTTTAAGATGGGGACCAAGAAGGTAGGGTTAGAGTCCTGCTTGGTTTCCTTCTGTCTGAGACTCTGTATGTGTCTGAATGGAAGCTTGTTGTGGAATATTACTTTAACTGTGTAAAGGTGTGTTACATTTGTTTCTGCTGCCTTTGTTAATGATTATTACTTTAACTGTGTAAAGGTGTGTTACATTTGTTTCTGCTGCCTTTGTTAATGATGAAAAGATGTGTTATATTTGGTTGTGCTGCATTTGTTTAACTATGTAAAGATGTGTTGCATTTGTTTTACCTTGCCTGCCTAAGGCACCTGATTGGTCTAATATAAAGCTGACTGGCCAATAGCCAGGCAGTAGAGGGATAGGCAGGGCTGATGGGCAGAGAGAGTAAATAGGAGGAGAAATCTAGAAAGAGAGAGAAGAGAATGAGGGGAAAAGAGGGAGATGCCCAGAGCCAGCCAGGCAGCAGCCAGGCAGCAGCCATAGAGCAGCACACACAGAAAGAAAGGTAAAGCCCCGCGGCAAAACATAGATAAAGAGAAGCAGGTTAACTTAAGTTAAAGGAAAAGAGCTAGCCAGAAGTGAGCCTAAGCTAGGACGAGCATTCATAACTAATAAGAAATCTCTGTCATGACTTAAGAGCTGGTTGGTGGCCTAAAAGAAAAAGCCTGGTACAGAAACTAAGGCTACCAGTGTCACAGGACAGAGGTCCCCAGAGAGGTTCCAACAGATCTCTTTGAAGAATGACACTCTCCACAGCACCAAAAGCCGCTGTGGGGCAGATGCCCGGGATGGGGGCTAACTCCAAACTGTAGGTGGGACTGTGTGGGAGGCATGGAGGTTCTTGTACTCACAGATAACGCCAGGACAAACCAAGTGTTAAACACACAGGATCGCTCCTTCAAAGGAAGGGGTGTACAACCTGTTATCCACCCAGAAGGCTGGGAGCAGACGTGGTTAATAGCCTGGTGACCTTCGCACTATCTGTGTGGACAAGACCACACTTGATCCTCCCCTGACCCTTATCGAGAGCTTGTCAATCTATAGAACTTATCTTTATGGGAGGTGTCACATGTAATCAATCTATAGTACCCATCTTTATGGAAGATGTCACATGCACTTTACAAAGAGTTTCGATGTAGTCATATCTTAAGTTTTATTGTGCACACAGGGTTGGGTTAGTTATCACCAGGAAAATTTTCACCAAATTATGCTGTGCTCAAATATGCCTAAAATAAACTACTCAGGGTCAAAGATTGAACGAACATTGGCTACTTAGTTGTGTTGAACCAAATTGCCTTCTCGCCTCCCCTTACTCTGCTGGCTGTGGTGATCGCAGAGACATCCCCTCACCTCCAGGGCTCGAGGTCAGGGTTATGGGGCTAAATCCAAAACCTTCAGAGTTAGAGAGCTAACTCCAAATCCTGGGTAGGGCAGAGGTCAGGGTCACGGGGCTAACTCTAGATTCCTAGGGTTTAGGTTCAGCCTCTGAACCCTGAACAAGAGTCCCTACTACATGACTGTTTTCTCCATAGAAGTGATACGGATTTTATATGAAAACATAGGGAACATTAGTGCTGGGGTACAGCTCTGTGCTAGAGCCTAGAGCAATGGCCTAGCTTGTGAGAGACCCCGGGACTCCATCCCTAGGCCCTGGTGGGTGATACATATGGCAGACACCTAAGGGAAAGTAAGTAAAATCAAGGGAAGAAAACTCCACTACAATCTAATAGCTGAGAAATAACAGTTACTGGTCTTGTTTTCAAGTCATAGGCAACCTGTGCCAGGGCTTGGGGGAAGCTACTCACGCTGCTGGTACGTCTGGTTGATGCGACGGATCTCCTCGGGGGTACGAGAAGCCAGGATCTCAATCAGACAGCCCTCATCTGTGCCAGCTCCCTAAATGTGAGGACGGTATGAACCAGTGGGTCAAGTTAATGTGCGATCGTTATGCACAGTTGAACAAATAAAATGATACGATTAAAATTACAAATTAAAAACTTGAGCCCCACACTCAGAAGGAACGCAGGTATGAAGCTGCGGGGTGTAATACCATCCCACTGGGGTCCAGAAGCAGGGCCTGCTAATTATTAACTGGCCTGCCCGAGCCCAGAGTGTTCACCATAATCATTACTCATAATAACACACACTTGTACAGTCGGTGGCCATCTGTTGCTGGTCGTAGCAGGTTAGGCACAGTTTCTGCCTTCTGTGGTCCAGCTCTTTCCTTGACCTCTCTTCTCTTTCTCTGAAGGTCAGACTTCCTGGCAAAGACTTTGTTACCTTCCTGTTTTCCCAGAGCCTAGCCCAGAACCTTCTACACGGTGTATTTATTGATAAGAAACTATACCGGCATCTCGGATTCATTTGCTACCAACCAGGTCAGCCACAGGGGATGGACGTGCATGCCTGGTACCTGGGTTGGTTCTACCAGCGCCACAGACCAGTCCCTCCTCATTCCGCCCCAGGAAGGAGCAAATGATTCAGCAAATTTGGGGGAAACAATTTTTTAATTACAACTGCCATGTACACCTCAAGTTGTCAAGAGGGAAAAACCGTCTCTCATCCTCTATTCTCCCCCCTCTCAGAAGGGCTTGGCTATAGTTTTTTTTGTCTCATTGTTTCTAACTTTAAGGTTTGACTTTACGTGTGTGTAGGTCTGTGCCTGGGAGTCCAGTGCCCAAGGGGGCCAGAAGCGGGTGTCAGATCCCCGGAGCTGGCGTTACAGGTGGTTGTGACCTGCCCGACGTGTGTGCTGGGAAGGCGACTCCAGTCCTGTGCTGAGCACTCTTAAGCACATCACCACGTGCAGTGAGGACGTTAGGGTGCAGACGGACCACTGACCTTCATAGCCCTCCGCAGCTCCTGCACGTCGTACAGCACGGTGGGCGTCATCATCCCCACAATCACCTGCTCGAAGTTGCTGCTCAGCTCCGACTTCAAGTCCTCAATCAGGTCCTGAGAAGAGAAGGAAGTGTCTACTGTTAGCTGCTACTGTCTCTCACGCCAGCTGCTCTCATCACGGTGCAAGGACGTCTCGGGCGCTAAGACTGTCTGTGCTGTCGCCCTCCCGGAAGCAGGCAGAGGCGTTTTCCTCGGCCGTGGACACATCTGCACAAGTGGAGGTCAGAGCCCAGCCTAGGGGAGAAGGTTCTCTCTGTCCTGTGGGGTCGAACTCAGCTTGCTCAGCTGGGCAGCAAGCACCTTTACACACTAGGCCATCTCACTGGCCCCATAGTTTTTTTCGTTTTGTGTCTATGTGTGAGTATACCGACATACGACATATGTGTGTACATGTTTATGTGTCTGTACCTGTGTGTAGGTACATGTACGCGTGTGTACATGCACACATAAGCATGAGTGCGTGTGAAAAGGCCAGTTGTCAATGTCTGGTGTCTTCTTCAACTGCCCTCTACCTTCTTTTTGGGTAGGCTAGGCTGGTTGGTCAACAAATCCCGTGGGGGGGGGCGTCTCCTCCCCATCGCTGGGATGATATTATATATATTATATACGTATATATGTATATATAGCAAAAATTACATATATATCTTTCTATCATGCATATTTTTATGATAAATTCACAAATGTGGATTGAATGAACAAATGAGGGAAGGAATGAATTAGAAGTCAGACAATCCATTAATATTGGTCACCTCAGACTACCACAGGTTAGCTGAGTTCTGAAGTTAACCCCAAGTGTGTATTGCGACACCAGTTAGATGTATAGCTCACACCTCACTTGACTGTCCACGTCTGCCACTGGGCATTCAGTTCCTGGAGGATGCAGAACAGTTATAGTCAGTGATGGTCTGTCCCATTCCATTCAGAAGTGCCCAGGGTTCGCCTGTAGATGCTCTGGAGAGCAGCTAATCAGCTCTGCCCTGCCCGTCCCTCCCCCCAGCTTGCCCAGCAGTGTGGAGCCATCTGTGAGGAGCAGCCTCAATCTTCCTGGCTGTGACATCTCCCAAGACAGATGCTCTGGGCATGAAGTCACTGGGTGCTAATGTACAGAGATGCTCCTGGGCTGTTTCCTCAGACTAAGGTTCTCCATGAGCACAGGAGTTGGGGGTGCTTTTCAAGGTGACAGGGAAAGACTGGCCGGATAATTCTAGTGAAGGAGTTGTTGCAAATGGAGTCGAGCATCTGCAGGGGTGCGGGAGGCAGACAAAATCTAAAGCGTGCCCAGTAAGCAGTGAGTTTATAAGCTGCCATGCATGCACATGCAACTCCACAGAAAGCCCCACTCTGGCGTGTGAAGGTCTCTCCACTGAAGTTCATCAAAGGAATGACTATCTAAAGGTGTATTTATATATATGAGTCACGGCGCTAAATTCCAGGAAATGGCGGTGAAGACAAACTGGACTTCTAAGTACTTTAGTCGGGGGTCTTGAACACTAGGCCCAACGGCTCTGCAGGTGCCCGGTACTCCACAGCACTTCCGACTGAGCACACAACCCACAGTCCTGTGAGCACTTGGGTGCAAAGAGACCCTGCCTGGCCTTGAGGCTGTGAGTCAACAGCTCTCTAAAAGTGAAGACACCTTGTTTTGTTTTGTTTTGAGTTTTGCAAAAATATCCTTTAAATTTTCTTTTCAGATAGATATTTTTCTTTTTATATTTGTGTGTGTGTGTGTGTGTGTGTGTGTGTGTGTGTGTGTGACCTCACATGTGGAGGTCAGTGGACAGTTCTGTGGAGTTGGCTTTCTCCTCCACCAGGTGGGTCTCAAACATTGAAGTCAGGTCATCGAGCTCTGGGGCGGGTGCCCTTACCCACTGAGCCATCGTTTTCTACCGTTAGTTTTAATTGACACACAACTGTTGTACTAACAGGTCTCGGTGTGACATTTCAGTGCTTGTACCCGGTGTGTGATAATCAAGTAAGGTGACTGGCATATCCGTCATTCAGACGTCTGTCATGTCTTTGCTAGGAACATTGCAGATCCTCTCTACTCACTCTTCTGAGGTATTTGATTAGCTGCCACCCACCCACAGTCACCCCACCATGCTCCAGAGCCTCAGGGGTTAGCCTCTCCTCTAGCTGCTCCCATACCTGTGACCTCTCTTCTCCCACAGCTTCCTAGACTCTGGTAACCGCTAACTTCACAGATAGTCTCCAGGCACTGGGTCACTTCAGGAGTCTAGTTTGGGGTGGGGGTGAGGGGTGGAGGATGAAGGGTGGAGGGTGGGGGGTGGGGGGCTCTGCCTCCACACTGCCTGACAAATCCCTGGTCATCGTCAAGAGCAGGGGGACCCGGGCCTACCCTGCCGATGCTGCTCTTGTAGGCAGTCCTGATTTCCTGACGCTGGGCAGTGTTGCGGTAGGCCAGGACTCCGATGATGGCGTCTTCATCCGTACCTGGAGACGACATGGAGACAGCAAGGGGCCATGATTTGCTGGCATGAGAAAACTGTCTCCCCTGTGGCCACTGGAGTAACCTCAAGAAGGCTGACTGTTTGCTAAGAAAACAGAACCTGGAAGCAAGAATGATGTCAGCCTCTAATCCAGCAGTCAGGAGGGGTTCACCTTTCTCACAGCTGGACATTATTGTGTTTGAAGAATTTTCTGTTTATTTGTTGGAAGAAGCAGCTGGGGTGGGGGTGGGGGATAGAAACTGCTCTACTACAATACCCCAGGGAGAAAGTTTTGAAGGGTGAGTTCACTGCGGCAGGCATTCTTCACAAGATTAGGTATCCCGGAGGAGAGGCGGAGGGAGAGCTGTGGAACTCGCACATCCAGCCTTCAGAACTCTGCAATGAAGGAGGAGCCCTTCCTGCTTTGAACCCTAAAATTAGCTTTGAGTTTTTTAAAAGAACGGCGCCCCTTCCCCCAGATTCAAATTTCCTTCTAAGCCATGCAAAAGTGTGGCCCCACAACCTTCGCTGTACCCACACTCTGCTTTTAACCCATACGTTACCATGCGAATTCAAGACTTTTCCATGGGCCTGTGAAACCTTCTAACTAAATTCTCCTTTTCTAGCTAGGTTCACTTTCCTATAAGAAAACCTCACAGCTCATCCCTCGCCCGCTCTGAAACTCACAATGGCTCCCTGTGGTCAGCTGGGATCACACAGGGCTGCCTTCTTGGGTGCTCTGCCGTCTCCTGTTCTGTGAGCTACATACCAATGGACAAGGAGAGGAGGCAGCCAGATTCGTAAACTTAGCTCTCTTTTGTTTATTTGGGGCTTTCCTGTGTAGCCCAGGCAGATCCTGAACTCTCAATCCTCCTGCCTCTGCCTTCCCAGGGTGGAGATTCCAGGCATGTACCACACCGGCTCAGAAGCTGCTTTTGAATTGCTCTGCTTTTCCCACTTGCACGTTGGCCGGTCTCTCAAACCCTTCATTACCAGTCTCTGTGAGTCCATTTACCATCCCAATTCTGATACCTGTGGTTTCCTGGCCAGTGTCTCTGGGCCACCCCTCCAGGCCTGTGACGCAATTGGTGGCTTTCTCAGTAGCCCTAGGACGTCCCCCACTTAGGACTCGCTACCTCTGTGACTCCTCTAAGCTCAACTTCGCTTCCAGAAACATATTCTCTCTTCATTATTTATTAAAATTCCACCCACCTCCCAAGGGCATCTCAAGTTCCATGCCTCCAAGGTTTGCCTGGTGATTCCATGTGAAAGGTGATCTCTCCTTGAACGACTTTTTTTTTTTTTTAAAACACAGATTCATGCATCCAAGCCTGTTCAAACTTATTATGGCCTTGAACTCCACCTTTACTGGAGATCAAACCCAGGGTTTTGTGCAAGTTAGGGCACTCTGCTGACTGAGCCACAATCCTGGCCCCACAGAGTTCTTGCCCATCGGATGTTTTTTAATTTTATTTTAAATTGTGTGCGTGCGCATGGGCACACTGGATATGCATGCAGATGCCTGCAGAGGCAAGAGTCGCTCCATCCCCTGGAGCTGGAGTTACAGATGGTTGTGAGCTGCCCAATGGGGGTGACGAGAATGGAGCTTGGATACCCTGAAAGAACAGAACACGCTCCTAACTGCCGAGCCAGCTCCTCAGCCCTGCTGTATACTCTTAGCCGAGCTGATGAGCACCCATGGATTCCTGACCACCAGGAGTAGGTTTTATGGTCCTTGTCTCCTCCAATCCGCTCACCTCATCAGTCCACATCAGCAGGCCCTGAAAAAGGCCTGGTTGTGCCAAATGTCTCCTGATTCTTGCTTGGGAATTCTGAACACTTTGCTACGCACTCTGGACTACCCTGTTCTTGCAATAGACCGAATTAAAATCAGAAGGTGGGGCCTACGTAATTTCTACTTTATTTACAACCAGAGGAAAAGGAGGAGGGTGTCTAAGTTCAGGACGACATTCTTTCAGAGATAGGTGGCAGGGTCACAGTGCTTAGGCCTGGCCTGGGGTGAAGTCTGATTGCCAGAGGCTGCCTACCTGCCATTTCCCAGCATCCTGCCTCTCACTGGTTCCCACAGCCCAGGGAAGTCAGCTCAACTCCCTGTATCCCTTCACGTCTCCATACCCCACTTTTCATGAGCAGGCCCTTAGGGGTTAAAAGACAGTAGTCCTTGTGAAGCCTCTGCCTTTAGGCTAACATGGTGGAGACTGACAAACCCTGCCTCTCTGGTCACTGCTGATAGACAATCTAAGGAAAATGAATCTGAGATGGAAAGACTGAGAAACAAGGTCTCGCTGCCAAATGTCTTTACCTAAATCTCAGAGATTCTCAGTGATAACTAGGAACTGGGGACACTTCTCCTTCCACGTGTCCAACAGGCAGAGCCCGAGGCAGGAATGTGTCCAGGGTAGCTGGCAGCACATCCTGTACAGCCGCATCTGCCCTCAGGAAGACAACTGCAGGGCCAGGCCCTGGGAGACGTCCCCTGCCTGCTCACGTACACCGCCTTCCGCATGTCAGTACTGACTCAGCTGCACAGTCACGGAGCAGCCCCAGGCAGGAGTGGGAGGCGATGGACCGTTTAAAAAGGTGGAACTTAGTGGGAGGAAGTTAGGTCTTTGGGAGGTGTGTTCATAAATCATTTACTCCTGGCCCCTCCCCTCTCTCTCTCTCTCTCTCTCTCTCTCTCTCTCTCTCTCTCTCCTTCTCTCTCTCTCTCTGAATTTATTTTTTTGTTTATGTGTTATCTAATCACAGGCCCCAAAGGAATGAGCCAGTCAGCCATGGACTTGATATCCCTAAAGCTGTGATCCAAAACAAACCTTTCCCCTTTTAAAGATGATTGTCTTGGGCATTCTGTTATAGTAACAGAAAATTCACTACTAACCCACTGTCCCATCCAAATCGTAGACAACCCCTTACCATCATTTTGTTTGTTTGCTGTTGTTTGGAGGTAGATGGGATTGAACCCAAGGGCCTTGTGCCTGCGAGGCAAGCACTCTACCAACTGAACTACCTCAGCTCTGTCCCCAACACATTTTCCTAAAGGTGACCTAGTCATGAATATCAGTGCCCACGGTGCCCTCCTCACGACTGTGACATACCACACTCAGGACAGTTCACACTCAGAAGAATACTTACCAAGTCCTTTCATGGCCTTCCTCAGGACCTGGGCATCTTCAACTGCATTGAATCCCGAGGCAGCTTTCACGGTTCCTCCTTTGGTTGCCTGAAAACACAGACGATGGCATGTCAGTGATCTCCCCTTCAGAGTCCCAGGCTCCGCTCCAGGGGCCAGGGTGACAGCAGCAACCGCGAAGGGTAAGGCTCTCACCCTGGTCGAGCTGCCGCCCTCTCTGAGGAAGGCAGACAGTGGGCACCCCTCAAATACACACCCCACAGACAGCGCGTCAGACAGAGAGGTGCCACAGAGGAAGGAGAGTCCTGATGGGCTGCAGGAATGGCTGACATTTAGGCCGAGGGATGGTTCATGTGAGGCATTTGTCCACACAACAATGAAGACAGAGTAAATGCTAGCCCGGAGGCCCTGGGGCTGTCACTAGCTTTGAAGGTGCCAGAAGCTGGTGGGAGAAATCACACCACCTCGGGTGATGCAATCTCCCAAAAAGGAAAAAAAGAAAAAAAAAAAAAGCATGGATTCAATCAAGTTCAAGTCTGCAGAGCCAAAAACATTAGCTGTAAATATAACTCACAAAGAATGGCCAAGCCAATAGTGTAGCTTCTTCAGTCTGAGAGACTGCAAGGGAGACTGAGAGAGAGAGGTGGAGGGAGTGACTGTTCCAGAGGTCACAAAGACACACCAGCCAACAGTAGCTGGCACATGCTGCACGCCCGTCATCCCGGCACTTGGGAGACAGAAGTGGGAGATCAAGAGTTCATGGCTAGCCTCAGCCACATACCTGGCTCAAGGCTAGCCTAGGCTAAAGAGACCCTATCTCAAAAACCCAAACCCTAAACCCCAAACCAACCAACCAACCAACCAACCAAACAAACAAACAAACAAGCAAGCAAGCAAAAAATCAGCCCTAGAGTCGAGCCTTATTTGGATGGAGGATCTGAGTAAGGGAACAGGACAGCTGTAAGACAGATGGACATTTGATATTTTATGACCCAGGGAGTCAGTCCTAAGATTCTCTGGTCTGATAATGGTGCCGTGGCTGCCGATTATGTTTTAAGAGGTTTACCTTTATGCTGCTGACTCAGAGGTGGAAGATAGAATATCTGGAATCGGCTTCAGAATAACCCAGGTGGGAGAAGTAGAGATAACCAGGACACAAAATTGAGTGTGAGTTAGTAATTAACCAGAAGGATGGGAAGGAAGTTAGGCACCTGCAGGCTTGGGGGGGTCACTGAAGAGACAGAGATTCCTCTCCTGTCCGCTCTGGCCCCACCGCTGGGGTCTCTGTTAATGCACCGATTTTAAGGGAGGGGAAAACGTCAAAGGGCTCATCTTTAAGATTTAAAACATCAAATGAAGGGACAGTTACAGATGGACGAACCAGGGAGGGAGGAGGCAGCAGGGCAAACAGCTGTTATTTCCTCCCGGTAAAGACAGCTATTTTTGAATGTACCTGTGTGTGTGTGTGTGTGTGTGTGTGTGTGTGTGTGTGTGTGTGTGCATGGGGAGGGAGGCCAGACGGTGACGTCAGGTGTTTCTGCAGCTACTCCATCTTGTTTTTTAATTTAAAATTTTATCTATGTGTATTGTGTACAGGTGCCCGTGAAGTCCCAAAGATGGCATCAGGTCCTCTGGAGCTGGAGGTAGAAGTGGCTGTGAGCCACCAGATGTGGGTGTTAGGAACTGAGCTCGGGACCCTTCAAGAGTGACAAGAGCTCTTAACTGCTGAACCATCTATCCAGCACCTTTTTTTTTTTTTTCTTTGAGATAGGGCAGGGTCTCTCACTGAGCTCACTGATTGGCTGCACTGTCTGGCCAGCTAGCCCCAGGGATCTGCCCGTCTCTGCCTCTACTTGGGTTACCAATGCACACTGCTGCGCCTGCTTCTTACATGGGTTCTGGGGATTGAACTCAGGTCCTCAAGCTTGTGTGGCAAGCACGTTACCAACTGAGCTACCTCCCCACCCCAAGATGTACACACACACACACACACACACACACACACACACACACACCTTCCTTCCTCCCTTCCTTTTTTTTTTCTTTCTCGAAACAGACAGTCTCTAGTCCAGGCTGCCTGGCCTTGAAATGAGGATGACCTTGAACTTCCAACCTTCCTGCCTCCAGCTCCTGTGTGCTGGGATACCAGATGTGAGACAGTACACCTGATTTATGCGGTTCTGGGGATCAGGAGGACCAGAAGTTCAAGGTCATCCATGATGACACCGAGAGTTTGAGGCTAGCCCAGAGTATGCTCAGGCTGCTGTGGAGTTGGAGACCGGCTGACAGTAAGGACTGAGGCTGTGTGTGTGTGTGTGTGGGGGGGGGGTGTGGCGCGGGGTCCGGACACGACGACATGGTGCTGGACAGGGTGAGATACAGAGTGTGGAAGCACAGTCAGACTTCACACATGATTTCAAGCAAAGACTGTGATAGTGGTGTCATTTATCCAGAGGGGACACTGAGAGAGGATGGCCATATCCAACATGATGGGTGTGGAGTTTAGAAGTTCTCTTCTCAAAATGTTTTCTCTTAGGCACCCATGCTAAGCACCCATGAGCAGTGGTCCAGGACAAGTCTAGAGGTTAACCTAAAATACACATTAGGGCACAACAGCACTGGATGGGAGTTTGTTGAGACACCCTAAGGAGAAGTGAAGCGTGAGGGCAGCAGCATTGGGACCAGCCTGGGTCTCTCCCACTGGATACGTCCAGCCCAGCAGAGACTGACAGGCCATCAAGCATGCTGATGAGAGAAGTCACCCTGGAGATGTAGGAAACTCCACAATGGGGGACGGAGGAAGTGGCCCGCCGCTGTTACAGCAGTATAGAATAGTTAATAGTGTCATATTGTCAACCTGAATCATGTCAGCGAGAAAAACTCTAGACATGCCTATGAGGAAGACCCACCCCAGAGTTGGGGGGCACCATTCCATGGCTGCCTGGACTATATAATACTAAGAAGAAGCTGAGCACGTGTGCCTGGCCTCTCCTCTCTGCCCCCGACTGCAGATGCAGTCTGAGCTTCCACCTCCATGTCTCTCCACCACGACAGAAGGTATCCTCAGACTTCGAGCTAAATAAACCTTCCTCCACTGCGTTGCCTTTGTTGGGCATCTCGTCATTTAATAGGTTATTAGTAACCAGCAGAAGCAAGGCACAGGAGCCTGATAGGCCTGGCCAGGGGCTTGTCTCCAACCCTTGCAGCTGTGTGCCGTAGAGAGGTTTCATGATTCTCATGTATATATTGAAAAGAATTAAGTCAACTCATGGTGTTGCTGGAATAAGGAAACAGGATGAAAAATGGGAAAGCACTCAGCATGGAATCTGGGAAAAAGTTAAAATAAAAACTTAGACGAGATGGCCACCACCACCACCACCATCATCATCATCATCATCATCATCACTATGATTGCCATCATTGTCACAATCATAGAAACACAAATCAGGCACATTGCCAAATTAAATATTATAGTGAGAGTCTTTGCTCTCTCTCTCTCTCTCTTATACTATTTATTGAATCAAGCCAATGGGATGATGACCACGATTCCACAAAAGTCCTCAGCTGCCACAAGGCATAGACCTCCTCTGCTCAGGTGTCAGTCAATGTGAGTCATTGACTGTTGCCTACTCAATGGAGGACAGCAGAGAGCCAGGACATCAACCTCTGGCACTGTCACCCTCAGGACCTCAGAGCATGACCTTGGCTGGAAAAGGGCCACGCAAATGTGGGATGTTAGAAAGAGGGGACAGTGCAGGGTGGGCCCCAGACCCGACGGACCGCTGTCCTCACAGGAAGACAGACCACAGGGCAAGAGGCAGTGAAGGCGGAACTGGGCTTATGGAGCATGTCAGGAACTCTAAGACTGCCCTTGGCCATGCTAAATTGGGAAGGGACAAGGAGGAGTCTTCACACTCTCAGGTTCAGAGATGATGGGCCAGGTTGACACCTGGGGTTTAGAATTGGGACCTCCAGTTCTAGGAAGCAAAACACTTATGCTATCTTTTTTTTTTTTTTTTTTCGAGACAAGGTTTCTCTGGGTAGCTTTGCACCTTTCCTGGATCTGCTCCATAGACCAGACTGGCCTTGAACTCACAGAGATCCACCTGCCTCTGCCTCCCAAGTGCTGGGATTAAAGGCGTGCTACATCACCTCCCGGCTTCTTCTTCTTCTTTTTTTTTTTTAAGTCACTAGGGTTGTGGTACCTGCTACAGCACCCATGGAAACATGATACATGCACCCAACTTCTTTTATTTTACCTTTTATTAGTAATTTGCTGTGAAAATTCTAGGTTGGTCTAACTTAGCCTGTGAGCTGATCACAAGACTGTGTGTGAGAGTGTGTGTATGTGTACATGTGTGTGTACATGTGTGTGCACCTATGTACTGGTGCTGAAGATGCAACCCAGGGCCTCACATATGTCAACTCATACCCTCAACTTCCTGAGTTAATGTTTCCTGAGATTCTTTGGAATTTTAGTATTGAAATTTTTTGCATGGTTCTCAAACACCAAGTTCAAGTTCAAACTGCATTGCTGATGACATTGTTATAAATGAAACTTAATGTCTAACAAGACAAATCGATAGAGAGGTTTGCAAGGGTGATTCCATTTACCTATTAACATCATGAGCAACTCTTTCTTATTCTAGGGGAAAGATCAGGAGCTTTTTTCCCTTGTCAGTCTTATGAGTGCCTGTATTGATTAAATTCCAGGTCACAATGCACAATTATCTTTTCAAGGAAGATGGGGAGGGGTGATTCCATCCATGCTGGGAAAGCTCGTTGTAGTAGCAAAGGAAACATTACTGTCCTGGCTAGTTTTAGTCAAGTTGACACAAGCTACAGTCATCAGAAAGGAGGGAACCTCAATTGAGAAAATGCCTCGATAAGATCTGGCTTTAAGGCATTTTCTTAATTAGTGATTGATGGGGTAGTGCCAACCCTGGGCTGGTGGTTCTGGGTTCTATAAGAAAACATGAGGAGCCATGAAGAACAAGCCAGTAAGCAGCATCCCTCCATGACCTCTGCATCAGCTCCTGCCTTCAGGTTTCTGCCCTGCTTGAGTTCCTGCCCTCACTGATTTTGATAATGAACGGTTATATGCAAGTGTGAGTGAAATCAACCTTTTCCTCATCAAGTTGCTTTGGTCATGGTGTTTCATCACAGCAATATGAACCCCAACTTAGACAATCACAGGGAAGAGCAACAAGTGAACACTAGAAATGGGGCCATGCTACAACTGAGGAAACGTTGTTGCTGTCACAACAACAGGGAAGAGGTGAAGATGAGAAGAAGGATCAGAGGGTAAGACATGAATACTGCCAAGCACTGAAAACGACGGCATGGCAGGTACAGGCACACAGGTGCACTGAAGAAAAGTAGTTCTCAGAGGGAGAGGTCGGACACAGGGTCTCCATTCTGACTCAGCCATCTCCCAACTCGGTACAGGCACACAGGTGCACTGAAGAAAAGTAGTTCTCAGAGGGAGAGGTCGGACACAGGGTCTCCATTCTGACTCAGCTATCGCCCGACTCAGAAACCTCTCTGAGTGGGGAGAAAAATGGGCCAGCCTGAGGTAGCCCAGAGGCTCAACTTATACCTCCATGCTGAACTTCACAGAACTCCCAAAGGGTCCCAAGCCCAGGCCTGTGCCAAAGACCAGATCACTATGTCCCAAGAAATCGGACCACAGCTGTAAGCAGGGGGCCGATGGCAATCGGGAACTGCTAAGAAGCATCCTTATAGGGCTGATTCAAGATGCTCAGCAAGTACAGGGCTCTTGACATCTACCCATGTTGACCAGAGTTCGATCCCTGAGACCCATATAAAGACAAGAGAGAACTAACTCCACAAAATTGTCTTCTAACCTCCACACAAATGGCAATGTGCTCCCTGCCCCCAATACAAAGGAAACATCCCTCTCGGTGAGGCTAAAATGATGGAGCTGTTCCAAGTGATCCCCTGCTGGGGGTAGAAAATGACTTTTCTCTGAGTTGGCCTAGTTGTTCTAAAATGGACAGTTCTGTTTTGCAGAGAGAAAAACATCACTTGTTTCTATATTCTCAGGCTGTTAAACATGTGAGGGTGTTTGCGAATTGATTTTCAGGGTCAAGTTACCACTTTGAAATAAATTTAAATGATGTTAAAAAAAGAAAGGAAGAAAGAGAGAGAGAAAGAGAGAAAGAGAGAAAGAGAGAAAGAGAGGAAGAGAGGAAGAGAGAAAGAGAGAAAGAAAGAAAGAAAGAAAGAAAGAAAGAAAGAAAGAAAGAAAGAAAGAAAGAAAGAAAGAAAGAAAGAAAGAAAGAGCGAGCAAGCGAGCGAGCCAGGCTAGGCAGTGCAAGCCTTTAATCCCAGCACCTGTGAGGCAGAGGCAGGCAGGACTCTGTGAGTTCGAGGTCAGCCTAGTCTACATAGTGAGTTCTAGGACAGCCAGGGCTCTATAGAGAGACCCTGTCAGAGAGAGCCAAAGAGCTAGAGACACACACACAGAGATAGAGAGACACAGAGAGAGACTGCCTGCCTCATATCTTCCCTGTCCTCTGCCGAACAAACAGAGCTTTGTTTAAGCCACGGGCCCCTGAGTACACATCCTGTGCCTGCCTGTGGCTGGCACCAGGTGGGGCGAGGCACTTACCATGGCTGTAGGTCACGCTAAGAGTTCAGTCACCCTGGCAGAAGCTCCTGTGAAAAAAGCAGAAGAGAAATGACTGCGACCAGGGATGTGGCATTAATCGTTAGGGTACCATGTTTGCATGAAGTTGAGCCAAGAGGAAATGACACATGAATTCATCAAAAGGTCACCTGTGGTGGAGCCAGAGCTCCCGGACCAGGCTAATCATTAAAGAGAAGATTGGAGCAGTTGAGTTTATGGTGCCAACAGCAGCTTCCTAACTGCTCTTCGGTTCGGGGGTGCGCACTACACCTGTGCTACTGTTTTGTTGGGGGCAGGTGCTGCAACTGACCCTCAGGACAGAGATTCTGACTTGTACACTACTGCAGGTCAGCACAGGGGCGAGAAGGGACGAGCTATCGGAACCGGGAAACTACAGGACTCAAGACTGCCCAGTGTGTGTGCACATGTGCCTGCATGTGTATGAATGGGTGTGTGTGTGTGTGTGTACCCCCATGTTGTGTGTGTGCTCATGCATGTGTGTACCTGCATCTGTGTACATGCATGTGTCTGCATGTGTGTCTGCATACATATGTGTGAATGTCTGTGTGTGTCTTGACAGTTCTCCCAGCATCGGACTCTGTTCACTTCCCAGATGCTATTACTACTGCACCATCTCAGGGTCAGAAGGACATTCCCTCATTGACACCTCACATATCCATATTTGTTCTCAGTTTCCAGTGCCCCCTCCTTCATCAGGAAAGCCTGTGTGCAAAAATTTCCCTGTGTGCTCCCACTCTTTTGTGGGGTTCCCTTGTGAGGAGCAGGCCTACTGCCTCCAGTTCCCACCTCTAAGTCATGTGGACCTGGCACCTCAACGCTCAAATGGTCACCCTGGAACCAATGATTAGGACATCTGAGAGCTTGTGGAAAACACAAAATCAGCTGGGTGGAACATGCTTGTAATCACAGAACTCGGGAGGCTGAGGCAGGAGAATTGTGAGCTGAAGGCCAGCCTGGTCTACACAGTAAGACTGTCTCAAAAACCGCACAGCATGTCTGGAAATGTAGCTCAGTTGGTAGAATGCTCATCTAGCGCGCAGGAACCTCTGGGCCAGAGGCCCAGCATGGAACCTGCCCTTGTCAAGCAGGTGAGCTTCAGCCAATCACAAGCCAATCTACCTGGCTTCGGAAAAGACAGATGAGAACTGTAACCAATCAGGTGGTCTCTTATACCTCACTTCCCTTTTCTGTACATCACTTCCTTTCCTTTCTTCTGGTTTTAATTAAAACCTGGTGCCACAGAATGGGCTTCTGACCATCTTTGATCTGGGCTCTGGTCTGGTTCCAGGATCAGAAACAAAGCCCATTAAGATCTGCAGTTAGGTGCATTGCTATTTTGTCTTTAATGTGGAGACTATTCAGGGTACCAGGAAGGAGCGGGTCTGATAGTGTGGCCCAGAAGCACCTCAGGAAATGCCATCTAAGCTGAAGGAAGAGCGCAGGTTGGCCTTGAATTCCATATATATAGTAAAAAATGACCCTCCTGGCTCCACTTCTTGAGTGCTGGGATTACAGGCCTACAACGCCATGCCCCCATTCATCTGGTACTGAGGATTGAACCCAGGGCTTAGTGCATGCTGGGCAGGCATCCTGCCCACTGAACTACAGCCCCAGCTCAGCTGCATGAGGCTCTACTGAAGGGCAGAGGCAGCCTCCCCAAGTTCCAGGAGGGCTCTTCCAGGTGGAGGGAACAGTTATGCAAAGACCCCAAGGCAGAAAGGAGCTAGTGTAGCCAGTGATTCTATGGATCAGAATAAGATGCCCATAAAAGGGAGGGGAGCATGGGAACTTCCTGTTCCTTCTGCTACACTTGCCCTCTGTGCCTGCTTCTGAGATACATCTTTTATAAAGCATTCGTGATTCATTCGGTAAACTCTTTCCTGAGTTCAGCAGTCAAACACAGGGGAGCTATGGGATCCTCTGGTTTATTGTCTGTGGGCCAGAAGCACTTCCTGGGCTTGGGAGTGGCTCCTGAAGTGGGCAGCATGGTGCGACAGAGCCTTTAGCCTGTAATAGTGTTGGAACTGCATCAAGGTGTAGGGTACCCACTTGGAGCCAAAAAAGAACTGAAGCATTGCTTGGTGTGGGTACCCGCCACCCCACATCTGGAGGCTGGTGTTCACCCGACAGGCTGTGTCCCTCTAACTGAAGGAGAATGAAAGCCTCCGAACCCAGGTCTCTCTGGTCTCTGCCCTGTTTGACTTTCCCAAAATCGGTCATGGGAACCAGGCTCCTAGAGCCCTCCCCATGCCCCTTGAGTAAGCCACAGGGCCCAGAACGTTGAGTTAACCTTTCCTGTATTTCTGTGTAGGAGCTGGCCATAAGGGAATTCTCTTATCTGTCTTGTTTGACAGAAAATCACGGGACTCTCATGGCAAGTGGCTCTTGCAGGACACTCAGGAGAAAGGAACGCACAGTCCAAGAAGACTCCCAACAGAGGTCTTGCTGCCTCTTCCCCTCAGCTCACCACCATTGGATCAAGGCTTCTGCCTGGTAGGATTTCTACACATCCATCCATTCTCCACAGAACCTAAACATAAAATCAGAATGTCCCCCAGGCCTGGTGTGGTGGCATACATCTTCAAATCCCAGCACTCAGGAGGCAGAGGCAGACAGATCCCAATGAGTTTGAGACCAACCTGGTCTACACAGTGAGTTCCAGGCCAGCCAGGGCTAAACAGTGAGGCCCTGTCTTTAAACAACAAAACAAACAAACAAACAAACAAAACCTCAGAATTTTCCTGGGGTGTTCAGGGTCTTCATTTATGAAGACTTGAGTCTCATATAAAATGTTGATTAAGTAAATGTGTCAAGCTTTTTATGTGGTAAATGTCTTGTTATTGGACTCTCAGACATATCACACCTTTTTGTGCTCTTTGGCACCAGATGTTAAGAGTCAAGGCCAGCCTGGGTTACATTTGTGTGATTGGAGACCCACAGCTTGCCGTGGAACTATCAAGCAGATGTCCACGATCAGACAAGCAGATTTTCCTGAGGGAATACCAGTCTGAAGGGCTGCAGTGAAGCCACTGTGAGGCCTGATTACGCTGAGAAAGACAGACAGTCCCTCTCTCCATGTAGAAGTCAACAGAACACAGCAAATAAAGCAGCTGCTAGGCCGGGTATGCAAGCCACATGGGCCTGGCTTCATGATAACCGGGGTGACCACCCTCCACATACGCCTATCACCAAATGGAGCTCCTGCTTGGAGAAGGGCGCACCACGTGTCTCTTTTATTAAACAGGGTCTTTAGCCTAGGCTGCCCCTAACTTCTCTATGTAGTTTGGGATGGCCTTGAACTCCTGATCCCCCTGCCTCCTCCTCTGACATGCTGGGATTACAGGC